CCAGGGTCAGGTTGTCCTCCTTGTCCGCCTTCTGCCTGGAGTGCTGCTTGTATGGCCACAAGCAGTCAAGCTGCATCTTGTAGCCCTTTTCTGTCTTGGCACTATGGGGTAACCTGGACAAGCAGGTGCCTGCATAGCAGTCACACAGGAAGCAAAAGAGATGCAACGTCCCGTAGGAAAAAAACCCAGCTCCAGCCTTTGGGCGGTGGCACAGGACAAATACCTCTCCTTGGTGACTGTCTGGATTTCAGTGGGACTTTGCCCTCAGAAAGGCTGGAGTGAGTTTCACAGGGCTGGTGTCAGTGTGAAAGCTCCATACAAGCAGGAGCCTGATTAAAATGGAGGGGGGGGGGGCAAGTGTAAAAAAAAAAATAATAAAAAAGGCTGTCTCTGTCACAGATCTATCAGATGTGAAATAGTCACCTGCTCCAGTAGATATGAATAACCTCCAGCTTGAAAGAAGTCTCCAGGATTTTCCTAAAAGGTGAGCAGATCCATCTGAATCATGCTCCCTTTTCTTCTCCTTTCATCAGTGGCACAGGCATACCAAACACGATGAGCAAGGACAGGACACACAAATCTTTTCAGGGCAAATATCCCCCAGCTTCAGTGCCTTGTGTTACCCCTTCCCAAATGCACTTAATTCCTACAGTTCCCAGCAGCTGGCGCCAACAAGATACTAGCACTGGACCACTTCTGCCCTGCCCACTGTGTATCCAAGTGCCTCCTGCACTAGAACTTAGATGTTAAACAAACAGAACACACACAGGCTTTACCTACACCCTTGCCCTGCCTCAGTAAGCTGCAGGAGGGAGGTAGGAGAGAACATCTCCATCCCAAAGGTGATAATTTTGAAACCCTCCCCCTGCAGGCAGGAAATGCTGCGTGGGCTCCACCTTCCTGTTCACAGATGTATTATATCACTGGAACGTGTTCAACTGATAATCTTGATGAGGTCAATACTTTTCCTTGAAATAAGGATGCTTTGTTCTAGCTGGGGCTGGTATTTGTTTGCTCACTGGAGGCCCGTGGTGCCCTCAGTCTTGTCCAACATGTGGCAGGGCAGTGCCTCAGCCAGACTCAACATCGCAGGCAGTAGGAGCAGCACCTGGAGCACCACTCAGCTCATCCAGCTGCTAGACCCCTTTCTCCCAGGTGTTGCTGCCTGTGGACCTATGGCAGCTCCGATGCTCTGGCTCCTAAAGCCATGGGGGACACTTGTTACCAGCGATATATGCCAGAGGGTCAGCCCCCTCCTGAGCACCACTAACCTGTGCAAACAGGCATTCCCAGCTGCAAAAAAAAAAAGGAAAATCCAAGTCTGACAAGAAAAGAAAGAAGGGCAGAGTAACAATGCCATGGCTGATGTGTGGCAGGGCAGGATGAAAAGTCATGACTTCAGTTAGAAATGAAAATAACTACTTGTAACAATGTTTGTTGCACAGCAAAACAGGGGCAACAGGACATCAGGAAGAAATGTGTTAACGTGGGGAACCTGCATTGCAAACAGCAGATATGGAATTTCTGAGATTGGAAGATACACATATGTTGAACACATATTACAACAATGCAAAATAATTATAATATCTGCTTGTTACTGGAGCTCCTGGTTTCTTTTAATTGGATTTTTAAGACAGGATCTTTTTTCTGTAAAAGAACTTTTTTTTTCTATTTTTACTTATCAAAGCAAAGGCAAAACCAAGACACAGCAGATGCAAAAAATAACAACACAAATACACAGGGAAAAATATAAAGGTGGAGCAGAAAGATATGAAACCATTAGAAGGAAGAAGCAGCTAAAGACAGAAATAGCTGCCTTGCCAACAGCAAGTGACAATTCCCTGAGAGAAGCTGACTCAGACAGAGAAAGAGGGCAGGCAGGACTGGAAAGCGTGACTCACTTGGCACAGGGCAAACCAGAGGGCAGCAAGCAGTGGAAAGAACTGACTGCAGGATGGCAAGAGGGGAAAAACCCTGTGAATTTGTCATGGTTCTTTCACTGCAGGTACTTGTGCCATGCCTGTCACCTGCTGTACTCCCACGGGCATGTCCCACCTGGAAGCTCTTTTGTGAGATCCTTCGGAGTGGGCTGCCATGCCACAGCAGAGCATTAGTCCTTGTCATATAAATAGTCCCAATCATTGCAAACAACCTGCAGCAGAGATTTAGAATAAAAAAGGGGAGAGCCCCATACCAAATTAACCAAAAAAACAACAGGTGCATACAGAGGGCCCAAACATCAGGGCACATGTCTATTTTCAGAGCTGACCAGGGAAGGGAGACTAACAAGTGGAGGGGCAGGACAAAATGTTTAACAGGTGGCTGACCCACACAACATTGACTGCCACATCATGGTCTTGCTGTCAGACCATACAGTCTGCTGAGTTTTCTATGTTTCAGAAAGAACTGGCATCACATGTACTATTCTATCCCAGTCGAGTTTACTCCTCTGGATGCTTTTGTGACTTAGGAAAAAAAAACACCTCACTTTTAAAAGAATATTTAGAGCCAAAAAAGAAAAAAAAAATCACCCTCTGAAGGACAGTCTTCATTCTAAGTTATCAACATCAATAGCAACTCTAGAATGGACTCCCAGTGAGAGAGCTTCATTCAGTGGTGTTTGTGACATCTGTTTTCAAAACACAGCTACCCAGGAGTTAGAAAACAAACCACCACCAGGACTATTATGTTGTGGCTTATGTTTTTCATTTGAGAGTCATCCCAGGCTCTTTTTCAGTGCCTCAAAGCCCTCTTCTGGCCACATTCATTGAGGATTCACTAATGCTTTAAGCCCACGCCAGCTGACACAGTCGGGATGTGGGTGAGGGCACATCACACTTTTACTTATGTTTAGTGATGTGCTTACTCTGCACCTGGGCCTCACACAAAGTGACTTACACACACTTAATTCTCTAGCATTCTCCCACAAAATCCCTCTTTCCCTTTCCATGCAGAGAAGCTCCTGTACAATTCACTATGACAAGACTTACAGAGCAGACCAGCTTAAAACACCCCAAAAGGCTATTGGATATGCCCTCAAGAGGCTAGTAATGCCAACAGAGAAGGACACAGGAATTTTGACAGGATTTTAGAGTCACTGCCCAGATATGAGCTAGGTTCCCTTACATGAAAGTTTAGATTTGGGTGACAAGCACTGTGGTGAATTCAGGAAAGACTCAAAAATCCAGACTCAGGGAGATAATAAAACATTTCCCTGATTTCAAATACATTGATCTTGCATTGTAAATAGGACAGCTAATGTTAGAAGTTACCTGATACCTTGCTAATTGGGGATGCAGGAGTAAATAATGGGATGAATACAAGAAGACCCATTCCAACCAGATCAGAAACCATGTGGTTTTGGCTCTTTGCTGACCCTGGTGAGCCTCCTGTCCCTCTGTCCGGCAGAAAGAGGCTCAAGCCCCTTCCCTGCCAAGCACCTGTGCTGTCTCAGGTAAGTTACACGCCCCCTCTGAGTCACCACAGCCACGGAAGAGCACATGACACACGATGAAAACCTGCCTGTGCACTCCTCATTTTGGTTATAAATGCTTTGGGTTTGTTTTAAAAAGTTCCCCACTATGATATCTGTCACATCTACAAACATGCAAAAACCCAACACACATGGCTTCAAACCAACTGTAAGCAGAAAATTTGGAACTGTACCTAACATATGATTACTATGACATTGTTGTCAGAAGGGAGGAGAGGAAGATGTGAGTGAGCAGCCTGGGTGGGAAAAACTGTTCCTTCTTTGACATATTTGGAGAAATACGTGTATGTATGTATGTGTGTTTCAGTGTACTATCTCAGAGGAGTGAGTTTTTTTATTGCCTTTGGGAACCTCCACATGACCAAATTCCCAACCTTCTTCCTCTCTTCAATGCCACAGAGAAAGACCTTTACATATTGTTTTTCCTTAAACCCATTCTTAAATCCTTTTTCTTTCTCTCTTTTTCCTATTCCCCACTCCCATTTCCCCTGTAAGGATGCCTGGGGCCTGACCTAATACCACAATGAAAAGCAGCTCATGTTTGCAGCATCTCTCTTCTATTTTTGGCCAAGAGAAGGCTGACATAGGTTGGACACGATGGCAGCACACTTCACTTTCAGTTTCCAGAGCAAAATGCTGGGAATAGGGCACTTTACCTTCACCCTGTTACCTCATGGCTGTCAGGTGGCACTGGGAGAGCAGGGCATGACCTCAGCTCTTTGTTTTGGAGGAATGTAGGAGCAGCACCCTGGATCGGAGCCCTACCCTCCCCCCTTCAGTGATCACCAACAAATGAGAGGGGGAACAGAAAAACAGAACAGACACTGTTCTGTGCACTCTATTCTAGTTTCCAGGAACTTGTAGTTCAGCGATTTCCCCCCACCAAACAGGCTATTTTTGGCTACATATATTAGTAAGTCAGCACAAAGGACAATGCACCCTGCTTACTACTTTCCCAGCTGTGAATGCTGGCTGCCACCTAACCCCAAGGTAAGCTGGTAGCCATCCCCCAACTCCTCCACCCTGGTCCTCCAGCCATCCCAGAGGCTCCCCAGTCTGTGCCATGCAGCCACTGTCTCCCTCTCCCCATGACCTTGAAAACACAGCTCTTGGGCTCAGCTTCTATTATGTCAAGACCTTCTATTATATCAGGATGAGAACAGAAATGAAAAATCATTTATAGATCAACCAAATGACATCTAAAAGCATCATGTGCCCAGTCCTCATCTTAAAACACAAATCCTCTGTTTCTTCATTTCTCCTTCCTGTCTATTCCAAGCCTGATGCACCAACAACAGGAAACATCAGTGTGCTTTGGTGCTAGGTCTCATGTCAGGCACAGATCATAAAAATCACTCTAAGTGAATTTAATCTATAAACCATTGCGTGAAACTCCTACCCAACATATAGCACAAGAATGTAACAGGTAAAACTAAGGGAACTACTATGCAACTGTAAAAATATAAAGGATGTGGGGTTACAACAAACAAGATAAACTGAGACTAAATCAGATTAAATAGTTCAAGTAAACTTTCCCTCTTTATTAGGAACTTTTCATTCTTTGAGCTTTTTGGCTATTAAAATTGTTTTTCTGATCACATCAGGAAATAAGACAGTAGAGCTTTCTTCATATTGTAAGCATTTCAATTAATATACATATATTAGGGGAAAAAAACACCTTTGAAAACAAGTTCTTTCTCTAACACACAGATGTAGTCCTTCGCGGCTCCCAACACAGTACGAGTCTTCCAAACAGTCTAAACATACATGGAGTAATCTGGATTTAACAAGTAAGTGCTTTCTAAATTAAATACACACCTATGACTGAAGTTTTTTGCTGTTACTTAAACAGTCATGAGAGGAAGAATGTTTTAACCCACACCTTGCAACCAGACCAAAGCAAAATTCCAATACCCTCAACCCTTCCAGGAGACAACTTCAAACCTTTGTTTTTGTCACATGTACATGGAATTGTCACCTGTAGTACATAAAAAATTGTACAGACACTTGTGGTAAGCAAAGTTTCTATTTTTAAATGCTTACCTCTACCAGGTAAAACAATGAAAAATGGTGATTTAAATCTCGTAAAGCAGAGTCACAATAGTGCTGCACTGCAGATGAAATTAGAAGCAACTGAAAACTTGAAAAAAGGGAAACTTCTGCTTTTTATCCTCTCTTCTCATCAACAATTCAACTAATGTCTTCTAGAAGGAAGAAATCAGCCTAAGAAGATATACAGGAGAAACAAGATTCTCAAAATATTACAGTGCAACACTCTTAATATGTAAAATGGAGTTTACTTATTTTATAAATAAATTGCTCTGAAATCTTCTAATAAACACCATAAAAGTATAGTTTATTTCACTGGGATTTGAGGGATCTGGATTTTGAATAAAGACATTAAAAAGGAAAAAAAAATCTGTACTGAAAGGTTAATAATCAAAATGCTCAGAACAAGAATGAACATATCAAAAATACAATTTTTTCCCTTCAAATTAAGAAAATGGAAAGAAAAGGAAGACAGGATTTTGAAATATTTTGTGAAATAACTTCTTATGTTTAAAGAAAGGTACTTAACAGACAACTGAGATATTCCTTTCCAGTCCTGTTTCACATTAAGTAACTTGAAAAATAACCAGCCTATTAACCCAAGTCCCTATTAAAATCCATTTAAAAGTTTAAATAAACTGATTTAAAATATTTTATTGCTTCTATGGTTGCATATACAGTACATACACAACTGGTGCGATGGTAACAAGATGAGAATAGAAATGAAAAATCATTTATAGATCAACGGAATGACATCTAAAAGCATCATGTCCCCAAACATGAGTAAATCCTCAGTTTCTTGATTTCTTCTCCCTGCCTATTTCAGAGCCCAAAGAAATGAAGTATTGGTCCTCATTCCAAATCAACTGCCAATTTCCCTCAGGTTCATTACCTAAAAGTTAATCTGTTATTAAAAAATTAATCTAATTAAAGGGTGAGGTTCTACTAGAAGGCAACTAGACATCTTTGCTAATAGCAGTCCTGTTCTCTTTCCCTCCACTGTCAAAACATTCAAAAGAATATTTTCTTCTCTATCTGTGCTTGGTAGCTAACAGTGATATAAAGCTGCTGTTGAAGAGCAGTGGCATCACAACATTCAGAGGAGAAACATGCTGCCACAACATTTTCACACACAATATGGCTTTATGAGGGAACCCTAATGGTTAGTCCACAAATTAGGTAGTTTCCTTCAAAGTACAAGTTTGAAGTCTTATTTTCATTAACATTACTAGGATAGATTTGTTATTCAGGATGAAAGTCTTACACTATACCTATTTTAAAAATCACACCTGGGAAAGATGAAAGGTCATTTTCCATCGTGGTGGTTTACTTTCCCAGACCTGAACCGGCATGGTCTCTTCTTAGCAGAGGATAAATTTCCATTACCATATAAAAGGAATAAATAGTTACCTAAAGGCAGTGTATGGACAGATGCTACGTGAGGCAGTTGTCAGTAGGAACCAGCAAATTGGACCTCCTTAATTCTGATTTGAAAAGCTAAGAATAAACATCATTTCAGTGTATATGACTCGTCCAGTCATTTTTAAACATTTTTAAATTGCTAAGTTTATAGATGGATGCCTTTTACATGCTGAAAGCATTTACATTTGTTTTTAAAATAATTCTCAGTTGTCCTTTAAAATGAACAAAATAAAAAGCACTGTTGCTGTAGCTGGTAGCACTAGCTTTCTTGGGGCTCCAGCAATGAGAGCACAATCTTTCTTAATAGAGCAGCAAACCTGACAAAGAGCAAAACATTTCTAACATGAAGACACTTCAATTATTTCACTCTGTGCAACTTACCAATTTGCCTTATTAATCTTCTCTGTTTGCTTACGAAGACCCACCTTTGTTTTGACACATTTCTCAGTAACACCACTGGTGAAGACTGGCTTTGGCCTGAGTGGGACCAGAAGTAAGACAACATGGAACACTTCTCTGCTGTTTAATTTGGGAGCTGAATTTAATCAAAATTCTGTTTAAAGCGCTATAAGTTAAAACTGAAGAGAGGCTCAATCCAATTAGCAGCAGTAAACACCACACCAAGAGGCCTGAGAGCCACCAGCTTTCACACCAGCAAACCTGGGTCTGTACTAAGCAGCTGTATGAAGGCAACCCTGTGTGTGCTTGGCTTTTGGGTGCTACGTTTTTTACCTTTTGTATTGGTAGCAGTGGAGTTCATGAATAAATGATAAAACTGGCAGACCCTGCTGAGGGCTCAGGGCGTGGCCTTGGCCATTAGTGTGTGCCAGTTACTGTTACCCAGTGCCAAACCTGGCCAAGTGCATTCGGGTTCCTTGGCCCCTTCGCACAGACACAGCGCACGAAGGATGTACAAGAGTCACTGTCAGCAGCCTGGCTTTGCAGGAGCATAACACAATAGCTTTATCTCCCAGGGAAGGGAAACACATTGGAAAATACTTCAAGTAGGCGAGCCTGCAACTTGAACTTGCAGAAACTGCCTGAGACAGTGTCTTCACTGAGATCATAATACACATTTCATCATTACAGATAAATCAAGAAGTAGACAGTGCATCAAAGCTCAAAAGAGATTCAGTAGTACAGGAAACAAAACTAAAATACTGTCTATTTGCACTATTTAGCAGCCATCTGTAAACACCACAGGTGCCCTATTAAATTTCAGCAAATTCTTCATGACTTAATACTATAGATATTTTGATTGTGCTTCCTTATTAGTGACTTTGGTACACTCCCTTCATGTCTCTAATTAGGACTTTGCAACAAGAATGGACACTGTGTTTCTCTGACATACAACTAGAGGAGACATCTCTTAAACTCTGGAATGTTAAGAGAAAGACCATTCCCAAAAGCTTTCCTAGGTTTCACATACAGTTCTGAGCAACAAGACCCTGACAACAGAATCAGTGCCATATGGATTAAATTAGGTATACAGTGCAGACAACTAGTAAAGCTAATAACCCAAATATTTTCTTATTGAATCCTGTCAATTTAATTTAAGGTGCTCTCTAATAATCTCAGATATGAATGATAAGCTTGAAGGAATCAACCTTGCAGGAAGATATGGCCTGAACAGTCAACTCCTCTTTACCACCTTTCACAGCTACCTAGAGTTAAGGCCACTCTACTCATACTGCATGCATTTACAATAACCAGAGTTCCTCCATATCATCCAGCATCATTCCATAGCTCTGACAAAGAGCAACTTCACTTCAGCTGTAGCAAAAGATGACATAGGGATTTGTGCTAAGTTTGCAGAGGGCATACATAAGATAAAAATGCATCTATTTGATTCTTAACAATTACTTCCTGTGGGTGCAAGTTATGTGGCAAGTAATGAGCCACAGACATCTCCCAAGCATCCACAAAGTGCACAGCAATTCCTGAGAACATTTTCCTCATGACAGAATCAAGCTGAAAAGAATACCAATCACTGTTAAAGAGGCTCACTTCTGGCCCAAGCTCCTGAACATTAGCGGTTCTGATGACGATTAAAGTCTCGGGGCTGCGATCCAGCAGCTGAATAACTGATCTCCGAATGTTCCTCAGCCGCCGGATATACACTTCCACAGGGAAAGTGCTGAAGTGGGACCATATGGTTATGGCTATCACGGTGTTCCTCCCCCCCACGATGCCGTTCAGCTCGTTGGCGATGTAGCGCAGTTCACTGCTGAAGACTGTGGAGAAGCGAATGGGTGGCCCGTGGCAGCGGAACTTCAGCAGGATGTTGTGCTTCAGGTCCACAGACATGAAAGGGCCCACGTTCTTAGGACTCCTCAGGTTAAATTCCACTAGATCTGAAAACCCGAGAGCGAGCATTAGTGAAAGACGGCGTAAGAGGTTAAAACTATCAGCAAGATGCTGGGACCACAGGGCAAAAGGACAAGGAAGTAGACAAGGAAATCTGAACACAGTTCTAAGAACTCCAGAATTAAACAGATGATAAGCATAACTTTTTAGAGTGGAGTTTATGGGTGTTAAAGTTGTATGCAAGACAAGACACTTGGACTCCACAAGGCTGTCAATGCCTTTTTCAAGTTTCCTGAACTATTTTGTTCTCTCTAGTAAAAAAGAAATTCTCCAGATAGTCATTGTTGCCCTATGAATCCTGTGTTCACAAGAACCCTACTAGCAACTTTAGGACTCCATTAAATTTAAGGTGACTTAAACTTGTAGGCATTAAGGAGTCCCAAAGTCTGTGTTCCAGTGCAACTGCTTTATGGGAAAGGGATGAGGGAGGGAGGAATATCTAAATGAAATTCTGTTATTTAAGTTAAAATAAGGGAAACAACCAAAACCTATGAACATTAAAAGAAGTCCTTTGCTACTTCATTCCAAAATCACTGCTAGGACTGTGACGCTGCAAGGCCTTACAGAGGCACCCTAAGTCACTTCTGCTGTGGCTCCTGGGGTGGCCACCTTAACTCAGCCACAACAGTGGTCCCTTTACAAGGACAACTTCACTGATACCTTGTGGCCACATTTCCAAGGCCTACATGTTTCCAGTGTCTGCTCAAACATTTGAATAACTGTCTGCCAGGACTCCTGATGAGGTTTTGTCTTCCTTTCCCTCTTCCCTCTTTCGCCAGTGTCACTGTCACTCAGTAAGATCAGCTCTGTGTCTGAGACATGAGAAATAAAGCTTTGCAAAGGTCTTTAAAGACAAAACCAAATTAAAAAAAAAGTACCTGGAACAAATGCTGTCAGATATTCAAACCACTGCCTTATTGTAGAGTCTCCAAACAAGTGGATTACTTTTCCTTGTAAGCACTCGGTTATATCATCTGATTTGTTAAAATTATGGATCCAGTGTGTTCTGGACCTCCACTGGTCTTCATAATAATAACCAGAAGGGGAAGCTGTGGGATCTTCAGCTCTGTTCATAGCGATTACATCTGGAAAAGAAAAATTCTTTGAAATTAACAACAAAACCAGCCTCCATAATCCTCATGGACATGTAGTCAGTGATGAATGAACATCTTCCCTAGTTTAAAGCAAAAAGAATGTGCTGGGTTTGACTGGGATAGAGTTAATTATTACAGTAGCTAATATGTGGCTGTGTTTTGGATTTGTGCTGGAAGCAGTGTTGATAATACAGGGATTCCATCACTGCTGAGCAGTGTTTACACACAGCCAAGGCCTTTTCTGCTTCCTGTACCACCCCTCCAGTGAGTGGGCTGGGGGTGCACAGGAAAGTGGGAGGGGACAGAGCCAGGACAGCAGAATCCAGCTGACCAAAGTGACATTCCAGGCCACATGGCATCACGCTCTAATATAAACCTGGATAAAGAAGGAGGAAGGGGGAGGAGGATGTTTGAAGTGACGGCAATTTTCTTCCCCATGATGGAGCCTGGGAATGTCTGAACACTTTCCTGCCCATGGGAAGTGGTGAATGAATTCCTTGTTTTGCTTTGCTTGTGTGTGCAGCTTTTGCTTTCCCTATTACAACGTCTTTATCTCAACCCAGAAGTCTTCTCATTTTTATGCTTTTGACTCTCTCCCCTATTCCACCAGGGGGGTGAGTGAGCAGCTGGGTGCTCCTTGTCTGCCGGCCAAGGAGCACAGGATGACCACACAGTGGTCGTGTGCATCACACTTCTGATGCACACTTCTGATGCATCACACTTCTGTAAGCCCAGGTATTTCACCCCATACTTCTGCAGCAAAACCTGCAACTGCTGGCAGAGTAGTTTGAACAATCATAGTTTAACTTGGTTTAAGTTAAATGGTATCTCTGACATTACTGTAAAAAAACCCCAAATCAAAACAAAACAAACAAAAAAAAAAAGAAAACCTAAAAGTAAGTATCTGGCATGTTTCACACTGCGACAGAAGTGCTCTATCGTGGGTGCTTGCATAAGGCAGGGAGGAGCAGAGGCAGAAGGACGAGCAGAGCATCTTCCCTCGTCCCCGCCGTGTCGCAGCGCGCGGCTGCCCTCTGGCGCCCGGCCTGCGCACGGCAGCTCCGCTCAGCGCAGGACACCGACCGAGGGGACAGCCTGCCACCACTCAAAAAAAAAACCAAAAACCAAAAAACCCCAAACAAACCCACCCACCAAAAACCCCTCCAAAAAATCTCTGCCTACGGAATACGGAATAACATATATCGCCACAGTCCTGCTCTATCACCACTAATGCCCTTTGAATATGTTAATCATGAGAGTCTCTAATTCCATGGATTTTGGACTTTCTCGCTGCTATCTAGCCCCCTCACCCTTCACTGCCTGCGACAGGCAGCCCCCTGAGGAGCAACTACACACCAGGGAAGTTCTATTCTGTAGGACGCCTGTGTGATACCTTGCAAGCAAAGGCCAGAGATTACAGGAAGGGAGCTGCAACCTCATGGTTATGTAAATCACATATTGCCATATTTCTCTTGGCAACCAGTGTGATATCGGTACATCAGACTTCTGTGAGGTCATTTCAGGTTTCTCCTTTGCCATTCGTGTATTCAAATACTTAAACTGAACAAGCAGGGACCTCTTCCCTGGCACAAACGCCAGCTGCACGGAGCAGACACATCCAGCTACATTTAAGTTTAAATGTTTAAATGATTTAATGTTTAAACACTTTTACCCATCTTGGTGTGGAGATTATCTGTTAAGAACAGTCCTTGCCCTGTCACAACTTAGAGCTGTTTGATAAAGCACATATTGTCTGCCATGGCCAAAATCATGCCAGGGACCACTCTAACTATGTATAGAGTACAAGCACTGGAGGTCCAGGGCCTAAAAGCATCCCCTGGTAGATGCTCCATTATAACATCATGCATAAGCATCTTTAAACATCCATTCCTTACAAGCATTTTTTTGCCACTCCCTTTCTGTACAATATTCTCTGCATGTTGTATTAGTAGATGTTAACCTGAGAGCTTAGAGGTTGTTAACATCCTTCGACCTCACAGGGACACTGTAAAAAGCAAACTACTATTACGTTTGCATAACACAAGTAATATAATCATGAGTACCACAGAAAAAAGCCTTCAGAATGTTTTATCTTTGGATGTTACTTTAAATTAGACAACAGGGACAACGAAGGAAGAGGAACAAAAACCCAACCAGCAATGTGGACTCATCCAATATTTGTGAAACAGGAATCCTACAGAGAAAGGAAAAAAGCCTTCGTATGGTCATGTAATAAAAGACCAATTCATAATGTGATTTCACAACTTGAGTTTGCTCGATTCTAAGTTTTGATGGAAAAGTATTTCCATTTTTTACCTTTTAAGTGGATTTTTCTGCTACACGTATACATATAAAAATGATGCTAGAACAACTTTTTGGTGCCTCACAGTAAATCAGCATTTCAAATCTGTGGATAGTATCATCACTTTTAATCCAGAATTCAGAAAGCCATTACTTTGGGATTTTATAGAAGAGAGTAAAAGTTCCAACCTGAAGTTATAAACTAAGGATAGAAATAAAAACTTGTATTTCAGAAAAATAAAATTTTAAAAAACTTGATCTACATTTACCCCCAAACAAAAAAACATAGACAAAAAGAAGAACAATGAATTTGTGTGTGCCAGCAATTCTAACAAATCCATACATTCACAATCATTAACATACTAAGTTTATGTATTCAGAGACTGCTGATCCTGGAAGGAATTTCCCTGAGGAAATGTGCTACTCTTATCTACCCTTTCTAACCCAACATTAATCCTCGGGAAATATAGGCAGGCTTTGATCATTCATAGCTCCTGGAAGAAGGGTGACATAATGAAATCTCAAATTTGCAGCAGTTTCTGTGAGGAAATACACAAGATTAAAAAGGTAACAAAAACACATCATCTAAAGGGTCTAGAGAAAGAAAAGGGATGGAGGGGAAATGCTGCTAGCCTAGTAGCAGCACTCTATTTTTTTAGTGAACAGTAAAACTAAAAGCAAGAAATGCTGTAGGCTGCTCTCTGTTCAGACTTTATTGCACAGGTCAGGAACTCTACCATAAAAGCCTCTTAAAACCTTATGAATAAAAAAGGTCTAAAAAGCTCTCAATCAAGAAATAATTCTCTGTGTATCACATTTTACACAGGCATAAAAAGTTTACACATGGATATGAACGAGATACAACCTCTAAGTTTAATTTAGTACAGACTGTCTTCGTTCTGTTTTTAGACAGGGCACAGAACAATTAGGCTCCGGAACACAACTGTAGGTTCTGTCATCCTGTGGTAACACAAAGGATAGCAATACTTAAATGCAAGATATCAAAATTTGTTCGACAAAGTTCTTAACAAAGAAAGAAATTAAGAAACACCCCACAGCTATTTTTGCTAGACTGAGAGTTTGGTAAGCAGTTACCCTAAGACATTTTACAGCTGTGAGTAAATGTTAGGGGGAAAAAAAAAGACAGTTTTGGCAAGAGAACAATATTTCCTCCTTTTTTTTTTTTTTAAAATCTCATTTGTGTATGTAATTTTGGAAAAAAAATCATTATTAGTACTGAACTTATATTACAGTTAACAACCAAAAGCCTTCATCTTTTCAATACAAATCTGAAATTAGTTTCTATTCCATGCTACAAAAACAAACAAATCAATTATTACCTCATGCCTGTTGTTCTTTTTTATAAATTTAATTATGAATTAAAAACAAGAATCTTATGAATCACTTTACCTGTAAATGCCTTGGGCTTTACAATGACTGAATCAGGTCCACTGGAGAGTATCGGCCTTTTGATGTTCACATGACTTGAACAAAACATAAACATAATAATATTTGTAAAAATTACTGTAAAATTTGAAGGTGATATTAATCTTGTTTTTTCTTAATCCACTTCAAATAAGTACGTAGTATTCACACAAAGAATTTTTTACTCCAAGTTTACCCTACTTCCTGTAACCAAACTCATTCTTCATTAATTTCCTCAAGACCACCATCACTATTCTGAATCTGAATTCAAAATTTCACAGCACTAAGACACCAATCCTGTGCACACTTTTGCTGACACAAATCCCAGTAAAGCTATCAGAAGCCTGCAAGAAGCTCTGGAGGATTTTCCACAAAGATGGGAACTTTCCAGCTTGCAGAGTGTGGGGATACAAACCACTGAAAGGATACAGTGCTGCAGCAGCTCCCAGCTCTGACAAACCTCTACAGGTGCCTATCACAGCAAATACCTCTGTTGAGGTGGTTGCTGCTTCCAGCCCCTGCGATCCGCAGCACAGAGCGGAGCTGGCGGCAGTGCAGCCCCAACACCACCTCAGTTCTGCCTCCAGTCTGGGCCACTGGTGGTGTGTCCTCTGGGGGAGATGGTGGCACCAGACGATGCCCAACCAACTTAAGAGACCTCCAGCAATAAGGTCTTCCACTAGTACAGCAATTTGCTAAGCACAGAAACAAAGGTCATCCCCCTAAACACCGACAGATCTCAGAAGGACTTGTTTAGGGACACCAGTGAATTCTGATCACTTTGTTGGTCACACTGTACAGCTGTGACAGATGCAGAGATTTAATACTAAGCTTTTGTTCTGTCTTTTGCTACTGTTCTGAAGAGAATCCTTGTCTAATGTTTTTCTCCATTTAAGAAATAAATTATTTGGAATTTCTATAAGCCACTCAGTCAAGGATCTCAGAGCTGCATGAAACAAACAAACAAAAACAAAACAAAAAGCCAAACAAACAACCCCTCCCCAGCCAAAAAAAGCAAAACCTTTCCCATTCCCATTTGGAAACATCACCAATAAATATAAGCCAGATTTTACAGGTGAGCTGCCAGAGGCACAGAAAGTCAGAAGACCCACTTACAAACTTGATAAGGAAGAGCCAAAAAAATTCCACTGATACTTACTTTTTGTTTCTAGTCTTGGTTTCAAACATACACACAATACTTTCCTAATTACAGTATTGGGAACTGCTTCTCTAAAATCTTTCCCAGTGTAAGCCTCAACTAAACATACTGCCAAAAGCCCTTCCTTCAACACTTTTGTTGGAGAGCAAGGCAGCAGCCTGCAACTACAACTCTGACACTACAGAGTGGTTACCTTTGTCTAAATTCAGACATCTAATTGCATATAGAAGCAGTTCTGTCACATCTACCCAGGTACTAAGAGATGGTTTGGGTTTTTTTAAATGCTGAATGCAGAAGAAAAAGATGACTAATTTAGTTTGACGCTTGAAATAACATGCACAGATCATTTGCACTTCCACATTCCTAAGATTTGACAGTCAAGCCTGGACTCTTTTTAAGTAGTTCCGATTTGGTCAAAAAGGCATCTCAAAACATTGTTATTGATACTGCAAATGTAGATGTGGAAACAAAAAATAAGGAAACAGTCCCCCAAACCACCACACAATTCAGACAGCATGCTCTTGTGAAATTCAGGAGGTGCAGCAAAGTTGAATTCAAAGCACAGAGAACTACCTACCAAGTTTCTGTAGTTTAAGATTGCTGTCTAAGATTCTTGTACAGCTGAATGGAGGAGAACAGACTATTCAACAACTCACATCCTTCTCCTGTAGATACACTCTTCCTCCAAGGCCATGTGTCATAATAACCAATAAGCCAAATTTGTATAAAAAAACCCAAACAAAACAACTTGACTGAGTATATATATAAATTCAACAACACACATACCTTTGGAAAAAGAGGCTTTCCTCTTTCGTCAGAAGACCTTTTAGATATCCACCTTTGGCATGGCTGATTCGGCTGGCACAGGACAGTTTTCGAGGCTTATAACAGAACCACGGCTCACCTGTGTAGGGATCTGTGAAGTTACAGACTGGGAGATCTCCAGGCAAGCAAACATTGCACTCGGTGGTTTCTGAGTACCTCCCAGACTTGAATGAGCTTTTGAAATAGACCCTGTCCGGCCTTTCTTCTCGTAAACGCAGGAGGACTTGGATGGCTTCACTCGGATGGACAAGTGACACAGAAACTTTGACCTCTCCTGGCCAAAGCAAGGTAAAGAAGATTTTGTAAAGGCCATTATGGCAATCTACAATCCTTCCTGTTGCTCCAGCTTTCAGCAGAGGAGAGTGAATTCGCGCCTGTAAGTAGTCTCCGCCATACCGCTTGGGCTTTCCTTGGAAATCCTTCATACGAACGAGGACCTCCAACTCATCACCCACTTTGAAGAACCTGCTGGGTTTCACAATCACAAAGTCACTACGTGTGGGATCAGTGCTCTGTGCAAAGGCAATTTTGTTATCAGGGGGGTTTGGCCACTGTATTGCAGCAAGCAACGTTTCCTGCTCCTCTTGTTCTCTTTTGGACAAAGTCTGCTGCGTGTAACCGCAGTAAGGCTTCCTGGTAGTTTTGTTTGTCTGTGACAGAGAATGCTGGACATTGTTTTCCGTTATCCAATTTGATCCTGAAACTGTGTCATCATCCAGGTTCTGGGGAGGAAAAAGATCACCTGAAACCGTGCTATGAAATGAAACATTGTGAATAATGGATAATGAAATGATCCCAAGAACTGGGCTTTCCTCTGTAGAGCTTTGAAGCTGACCAAATGAAGCAACTTCACTAGAAGACTCGAATCTATTACTCTGACCATGGGATTTCCAAGGAAACAGGTGGGCAACACCTGTTTTGTTACCCTGTTTTGGCAGAGAAGCTTTTATATAGATCATATCCAATATTTTCTATGGCAGTATTTTAGCTACCGGTATATTCTGTAAACATCAGCAATGCGAATAAAAATTAAAAAAGGTTGAAAGATTAAGTAGCAAATTGTAGCTCATGTTTTATTTTCTTCTGTAGTAACATTTTAGTCTTAGAGCACCATGAGGTCTAATAGGTGCCCAATGTAATGCAAGGCAATAGGGCTTCTTTGAGACACTACACTGCAGATGATGCAGATGCACCCCCTGCACACGCCTTCTAGAGAAGTCTGCTGCGTGTAGCAGCTGCAGTCATTTATCTGGTCACACTCACATTGCTTCTTATCTAATTATCTGAAATGTGTCTTTCCCTGTAACGTACAGATTGGAAGAAATAAAAGAATAAAAACCCAGATGCTTCAGGGACAATGAATTCATGAGCCAGTTGCCAAGTACAATAGTGTAGAACAAGCTAGGACTGAACAAGCAAAAAAATTATTGGTTTGTTTATTTATTAGATTGTAAAAATCTATATACAGCTCCTTCTAGAACCAAATGAAACAGCAGAGCATCCCCTAATTCACAGAAGAGTTTGAAAATTAAAATAGTTAAATACAATGCTAGACTAAGAGAGGAGGCTTCTGCTGCAACTTGACATCAGTGTCCAAAACTGTATTTTCATGCAAATGACTGCAGAGATACCATCGTCTTCATGATATCACATGATTTCGCAGGTTTGCACTAGGAAAATTTTAAAAATAGCACAGCCTAAGCCTCCAGAGCTACCCATGAGATTTCTAATCAGCAACTCCAAATTTACCCTTCAAATACACACAAAATCAGCAGTTAATGAACAATTAATTATCAGGTATATATAGCAGAACTTATCCATACTTCTATTTCAAAAAGAATGAAAATAGTTTTTCAAGCAAAGATTACAATTATATAGTGCATCATTCACATGGCATCAGAGGATAAAGACTGCTAAAAAAGTCAAACTATGTTATTTGAAATCTTTTAAAATATCATTGTACTCACCAATGCCCCAGTGTGTCCCATTTAATTCCTCCATAACTAACTGCCCAGTAATGTACTAAAATTCACAGCACTTATATTAAAGCCTTATTCATTGTTATAAACCTCTCTTAGTCCACTGAAATATCACCAGTGTATAAAAATCATTAAGAACATAACTGAGATTCAACACACTTTTTTAGAAGAGTGTAAACCTAACAAACAGTAAAAACGTACAGGCTTTTGAGGTCTGTGATATACGTTGGTTTTGATCAGCTTAAGAGTAAGAGGATGAGCACATCAGGATGTAGGATGGATACGCAAAATCTTCTTTGTATGATATCCACGTTAACAATAAAACCTGAAACCCGAAATGTAGACTGCTACATGGTAACATCACAATAGAAGCTTTTGCTTCTATTTTGGATTTCCATCCAGGATTTAATAAATTTGCCCTGAAAGCCATCTGAGACAATTCGTAATTATTTACATTTTCCATCACAGCAAGCAAAGCTGCAGATGTATTGCTGCATGTTACTTTCGTTAGCCCAGTAAATTTCAGCCAAAGCTGAGAGTGAATCTCAGGCACGGTTCTACTTTAAATCTTGTCTACATGCATTCTTGAATTAAGCCAAGTGTCTATTTTTGGATACCTTCACAACTCCTTCCCTTCACTTGCTCGTGCATATCTATAACACAGAAAATACTGCATGGAAATATTTTTAAAAGGTAGCTATCTATTTTAATGCATCCAATAAGCTGGTAACAATGTATCAGTCAGCAAAAATATTTAAGCGTTTTTCTAAGGAGGGGTGGAGGGGAGAATACGTGTGTCTGATTAATTGTTGTTTTCAGTGTAAGTTCTCAAGAGAAAATTTCTATAGTTCAGCTGATTCTTCAGTGGTTGGTACTTTGGGTCAAGGGGCATGGGAAAAAATCCTTCCAAATTAAGAAGAGAGATGGCTATCTAAGACAGCCTTAAAAACAGACATATCCCTATTTTTAATCTTCTATAAATTTCTTCAGGGTTTTTAACCCAGTCTTTCTGTCAGAGTTGTAGAAGATGCCATTTATGGCCTAGCTAGGCTTTCCGAAGTCTTTCCAGGGGCATACCTATATTTTTCAGTGGAAAAGGGTGCAGAAAAAAGCAAGCCAACAAACTCATTCAGAAAACAGAACATAGTTCAATGTCTCCAAATCAGTCCCTCTGCACAGCAAAGCACAAGGCCAAAGCTGTTCACTTGCAGCTGAGGCCAAGGACACTTCAACATCTCCATTATGCAGAACAGATCATACCACAAATATTTCCTCAGTCTATCTTCAAAAGGGGTGAGGGCGAATCTCCATGAAAGTAAAAGCAGAGCTGCTTCAACTTCATGAAGAAGCCATTCTTTCTCCAGAATTCTTGTTCATCTTTACAGTCCTCTCTCAAGCACAACCAGGACCATGCATCATTGCAGAGATTCTCTTTGCCAGTAAAGGCAGGGAAAGCTTCACAGTCAATTAACATACTGAAGATCCTTGACTGACATAGAAAAGCTTTCCAAACCAACTTTCTTTCTTTAGTGTTTCCCAGGCTTAGCTCCAAACAAGTGCTCCAGTTCTCCTGCCCCTATGGATACATAAGGGCTGCCCCGAGGCAGATAATTAGCTGACTTTGCCCCCACTCCATTTCCTACTTCCTCTTTCATTAGCATTTCCAAATCTCTCTGGCTCCTCCATGGTATGTTGGCACACTGAGACTGTGCAGAACTGCGGGCTCTCCACTGTACCTAGTAGCCAAAACTAAATAAAATTCCTTTAAAAAAAAAAAAAACAGATAAAGAACATTTCTCAAGATTTCTCAAGAGTACTCTTCCTTTATGATACAGATACTTTTAGCTTTTATTATAGTCTCCATGATAAACTTATTTCCTTATATACTCCATTCAAGGTGTCATATATTTTAAGTGCAATTTCCAAGGGACTTTGTTTGTTAGTTTGTTGGGTTTGTTTGAGGGTTTTTGTTTGTGTGGGAGGCATTTGTTTGATTTTGTTTTGTTTTGTTGAGGGTTTTGTTATTGTTATTTTTACTTTCTGAGTTTTGAAGCTAACCAGAACCCAAATCTGACCACAAAGTACTTTAATGGATGCCTGCCAAGTAACACAGGTAGGACAAAACAGATTACATGTCAATTAAGCACAAACAAATATACAAGCGGTTCCTGGCATTACAGAGGTCAAAACAAGGGGGGAGCTAATGGGAGTTTCAGCTTAACTACTCAGCTTTTGGCATTCTCACTGCCAAATAGGCAAAAATGAGATAAAACATATAGATCAATAGAGACAATAATGCTCTCAAAAATATTCTAGAATGATCCCAGAGTACTTGATTAGATCTGCAATGAACAGTTCAGTTAAACACCATAATGTAGGTGGTGTCATTGAATGAGTTGCTTAAAGTAACCTTAAAGCACTCATTTACGACAGGTGGCCAATGAAAATGCTGAGTATTTCAACTGCTGCTGAAAATGTGGAACTCCATCGCAAAGCCCAAGATCTTCCACCAACTGTAACTCCTGGCTTGGAGTTCAGAACAGTTGCTGCAAACCTGCAAAAGTCACTATCATTAGAGCAGGAAACAGCACAAGAGATTCCCAGCCAACAGGCATGGTGGAGGAAAAAGACTTCCAGTCTGACCAATAAAAACTCTCAATTTATGCAGCAGACAGCATTTGAAACTGAACAAATTCCAATTACTGAAAGGTCAGTCATCTTATTCTCAGTAATTTTACTCCCAAGGTACTCTATTTGTAGTCTATGACAGACAGGAAATCAGCTCACTGTCATTACCATCTCACAGCACTGAGTGGGTGCTAAACTACTTTAAGTGTCAAAGCCAATCCTAAAAAGCCATCACCTAACAGAGAAATGTTCCAGCAACACTCTGAGTAAGATGAAGTTATCTTTTGTAGGCACCTGCAATTTAGCAGCAAGAAAAAAAAGACTTTGTTACATAGTTCTTTTGTTCAGTTTCAGCTGTTTGATTTCATACACCATTACTTCATTCTGGTAAGAAACTTCCCTTCTCCCCATACACTCTTTTCTAAGTGCTTTTTAAAAAAACAGTACTCACAACCAGTCCTGAAATGGTTCTTTCACTCTAAAGGTAATTGGTACAAATTCACAAACTCTCCTGTATCCTAAAGGCATGATGTTTGGCAACATCTTGTTACTTGACCAAAAAAAATTACTGAACATTTTATCTATGTTCACAGAAAAAAATTAAATTAAAATAAAAATATATTTCTTTCAGTACTATAATACAGTGACCTGAAGGGAGTAGTGGACGGCTTAGTTCTTTTTCAATATAGAGTAAGAAAAGTAAAATTCTGACATGAGGATTATTGAGAGGGTGTCATTAGTAGCTTAAGAATTTAATAGGCAAGATTCCAACATGAAAAAGCATAAAATCCTACAGGAAAAAAAGCAGGAAGGATAGCTAGGGAGGGGGGATAGCTGACAATTGCCTTAGATCTTGAGCTTTAGCCAGTTAGGCTAGATGATTTGGGGATGAGAAGCATGTCTGATGCATTTACAAACATGTTTTCAACAGCAGTCAACAAAAAGCCCACCTTCCAGAGCCCAAACAGATTAGGGTACAGATATTCTGTGAAAGCTTTCTAAGGCTTTTTCTGGTTTTGATCTCTGACTGAAAAGAATCAGCACAGACATCTATGGTAGACTGCCTGGAAAATTATGCCAAGACAGAGACAAATACCGGAGCATGTCCATTCAGAAAAGTCAAGACAACAGAAGGGGTTAGAGTGGCATGTTGTGGTGTAAAGATTTACCAGCAACACAATACTTAACCAAGTTTGGAAGAGCAGGTAAGTAAAAGTCAACAAAGCCATGAAGATACTATCATGAACAATGGCAAGAAAAAGCACAAGGCAAACCTGCATTTTCCATTTCATTCTCAAAGCACTGCCAGAGCCCTCTTCTCTAAGAAACGTAATTTAAAAAAGAAAACAGTCTAGGTTTCAAAATATCAACACTCCTCATACAACATTCTAGGTCACAAAAAAACCCAAAACCACAGAAAGAGAAAACAAAAGCTACTTTATATGTTACACAAAAAGATCATGTTAACTTGAGCAAAAGGTCCATCAAACACAGTATTTTGACAGCCAATAGTTTCCAACAGCGGGTGTGTAGGAAAAGAATACAGACCAAATATTTCCTCCTAAAGACTTAATGCAGTTTCTAGCCCTTTATGGCTTAGAGATTTCTTAAACACAAGGGTGGACATCTTTAAGATCTAGTATCCTCTAATAGATTTTTCTTCTGTGCATTCATCCAGATTCTTTGACACAGCCTTACTGCAAGGACTTCTGCCGCTTTGCTGCAATCCATAAGAAGCATCCCTGCTTCCTTTAAAAATCAACATTTGCAGTTTTTATTTAGTGTCTCCAGTTATTCATCCTGTGTCACTTGTGTGTTGACTTTAACCTGGGGTTAGTAACTCAGTAACTAAGCAGGTTCAAAGTAAATCTGTAATAACATGCTAAGTAATATGAATAAATATGCAAGTCAGACACAGCAGAGGGAAAAAGGGAAAGGCAAATAAAAGTTGCATCAGTACAGGCTGGAGATCAACTTGCCATCTAACAGCTCTGCAGAACTGGCCATGTCAACAGGACAGCGTTGTGGCAATGAATTAATGAGAGCATAACCAGCTGATTGAGCAAAGTGATAGTTCCCCTCAACTTGACCATGGTGAAGAAGACTGTGAACTAGAACACTGTGTCTGGTTTTTGGACAACCCATACCACAGTCAAACTGGAGAGAACAGCTAAGAATCCCCGAGATGATTAGGAAACCGGAGTGACACTAATGGAACCAAACTTTTTTTTATTTCTTTTTAATCTGGAGAAGACCAAAAGGGGATCTAACTGCAGTCTTTCACTGCCTAAAGGGGAGTTACAGAGGAACTGAGTGAAAGTACACACTAAAAAAATAAGACGCAACTTCCACCTGCACATGAGATAAACATTCTTCATTGCACGAGAGGTGCAGCACTGCAACAGGCTGTCTAGGCAGGTGGTGAAATCTGACCATCCTTGAAGACTGTCAAAACTCAACGATACCTTGTGCAGTCCAAGCTAACTCTGACATTGGCCCTTTGAGGAGAGTGTTGACTAAATACCTTCACACATCCCTCCCAGTCGGAATTTTCTCTGTTTCCAAGTTATAGCTAAATGTTGTCAGACACAGTTCTAACCTTACGCTCAAAATGGAATAATGTTACTCAAGTGCTCTTGGAGTGGCTTCACTTACCTCTAACTGAAAAAAATTATGGACCAGCACCACAACAGCCAGTACTGCCATAAGCAGGCAGAAGATCTGCAGTCTGAACGAGTCACGCCACATGGTCCATTCATATCTTTCCCTCCCATGTTAGACGCTGCCATGACTTCCATCCACCACAAACATGAATGTCATTTCGTCTCAGTAGTGCACAAGAGAATTCAGTTGACTTCCACTTCATTCCTGCAAGTGCATTTACAAAAACTATATTAAGTCCTCAAAATATTACTATAAGTCAAGTTTAACACTGAAAGCATACAAATGGTGGAATTTGGCAGCACAATAGAACAGTCAACATGGATTTTTTTTGTGGAACTAATCTGAACAGTACTTACATTACTTAATTCTCTAGGTCATGTCAAAGCAAAACCTTATAAAGGTAGTCTCACCTGTAGCTGATACAAAAGAAAGGCAAAAGAAGAGTGCAAGTTTTCATTTTGCCAAACAAAAAAACCAAACCAATTTATTTAACAACCACCCAATTTATCCATCAGGCCACACTATCACTATCCAGACATCAGGAGACCAAGACTTCCAGCAGAAACTTGTGAGTTTAGATATCTCCCATTTACCTGTTTACACATTTCAAGAAGTTGTTATTAAAAACTAAGCTCTGAAGCAAGTTTGGATAAGCAAGATAAAAGATGCTTTCTCCAGTTTTCTGCTGGGGGAAAAAATTACTGTAGTGTTACAGAGGAGATATGTAACAGAGTTCAATGCACTAAAATTTAACTTCGCATCATACTACATCTTCTCTGTTTTTTTATCATTCCTTTTACCTCATGCAGCTCTAATAGTAAAAAAAATGAACTTCTGGGAAGAATGTGTTCAGTTTTGGTGGGTTTGGGTGGGTTTTTTTAATAAAATAATAGTATTGTTTTCCATAAAATTTAACTTCCGTAAAATATATTGTTTCTTTGAGGCTGCTTGATAGCTGATCCACTATAAAAATCACAGACTTAAAGCCATTGATAAGGTTCTCACAGCTTAATGCTGGCTCAGTAAGACTCATATCTTCCTTTCTTTTTGAGAAGGACAATTTTGAGGCAGTCATTTTGCAAGCAAAAAGGATACTGTTCCTGCAGAAGCTCTAAACTTGGAACCAGGAAACAGATGGCAAGGAGAGGCAGTCAAAAGACACCAATCTCTTCAAATCTAATATTCTCAAAGCAGTATTACTCATACAACCATCCTCCAAGTGCAACAACATAATCAAATGATTACATTAACTTTGTAAAACTTTCTATAAATAGTATAACTGAGAATTTATACTATTTCTTAAGTCTAAATGAAGAATGCTGTGTCAAAGTAAACATAATAATACATAAAATATCAAAATTAACTAATTAAATTATTCAACAAATGCACATAGGTTAGAAAACTGAAATATATTACTGGTATAACCAGGACAGTCTCAAAATAGACCACACATCAAATTGCTTTACAAGGATTATAGGGATTATAACTTCAAACGTTTTGCTGAGAATTACAGAGATTGTATTTCTGACCAACGAACAAGCATTGAAAGAGCAAGACATCCATTAAAGTGAAAGTATCAAAATGCCACAAAAACGCACCTTTGTTGGAACAGTTCTGCACTAACAGAAAGTACTAAATTTGCATAAAACAGCAGCTCAGGTTTTAAACAATAACGATAATAAATATACCTAAATACATGAAAATGCTAATTTAAGGCCATATATGTCCATTTGAGGAACAGAAACAAATATATTAGAGAAAAAGAGAATTTTCAATTGCATTGCTGAGAATTCTCTTCAAATCACCAAAAAGCACGGGACACTGAAAATCAATAGAAAGTCATTTCAGATGCCTAAAAAGGCCACAAAGTCTATTCCCATGTATTTTTGTTCCAAATTTTCCACATTTCTGTAAATGTCACATGCCCTAAAACATTCAATGTACAGGTTTAGAGCTTTCTTTATGTTAAAGGCCTTAACGTACTGACAGTTTCACCATCCTTGACCAGTTGATCTCATTTATTTTCTGTATAAAGGAAGCCAATAAGTACATCAAAAAGCCTTAGGTTCTTACCCTACTCCTGAAATGTTCTCTGAAGTCATCCGTGCAAAAGGCCAAACAACCTTGGAAACAATACATTAAAAAAATAAATATATCTATACACACACAACTATTTTCAAATAAAATTCGTGCCCTGGTAGTTTGTTTGCAGTGACACAAAACAACATGGCTGTTATGACTCTTTATCAGTAAAATTACTTCTTTTTCTACAGTAATCCAAGGATTTTTTTAAGTGTTTCATTTTTTTAAATTTCAGTCCTATATCTTTGAATTTTCTCCAATTTATCATTAAGTATTAATTCTCTCAGCTTTGTTCCATGTTATTACAAGTCCCCTTTTGCCCAAGGTTAAAAACAAAAACCGGTTTAATTACGTTTTTATGAAAGGTGTTCTAATTGCCTCATGCTCTATTACGGGATTATAGTTCGGGGCTTTTTTCCGAGTTGTCAGTTACTGTCAGGTCTCCATCTCCACAACTCTCTAAGCCAGCAGCATTACGAAAGCATTAGAATTATGAGTATTGGTGCAACCGCTCGCAATGTTGGCACGCGAATCGCAAAGGCAGAGGAGCCACTACCTCTGGCGATGCCCAGACCGTGCCACTAAGGCGCAGTGCCTCAAGGCTTGGTGCTCGCGTGGCTGCAGGCACGGAAAATCACGTTTGCTGCTGTTTTCCCCTAATTCCTCCCGCCTTGCTCCCCGGAGAGCGGGAGCTGCCAGCCCCTACAACCCGCGGACATTCCGGGCCAGTGCCGCAGCTCCCTGCGGCGGTGCCGCTCCGGGGAATCACGGCTGCTCCCGCCGCCCCGCGGGGCCGGGACACGCACCCACGAGTGAGGGACGGGGGACGCCAGCAGGAACCACCGCTGCCGGCAATGCGAACCGCACAGCTGCATTTTACTGTCCCAAGCTACTTTATAGGCGCCGCCGGGCGGTCCGCCCGCTGCCCGCATCCCCCGGGGGAGCGGCACAAGGCGGACCCGGCATCCCCCAGGGAGCGGCACGAGGCAACCCCTGGACCGGCAGGAAGCATCTTCAGCCGCCGCCGCGATGGAGCGCGGGCCCCTGCGGGCCGCCGGGCCCGGTGGCGGGGAGGGGGCACCCGAGCGGGGCACCCGCCAACCCCGGCACCCCTCACCCGCCCCAGGCCTCTCCACCGCGGCCCCGGCCCCTGCCCCACCGCCGCCCCGCCTTCCCCCGCCGCAGCTTCCCCTCCCGCTCCCCAGGCGAGCCCCGCAGACCCCGCCGCTGCCGCCCCGCGCTCCCTCACCGCAGCCCCGCCGCTCCCCCGGGCCAGGCGGCGGCCTCGCCCCCGGCCCGGAGGCTCTCGCCGTATATCCCCCGGCCCCGCCGCCCCGCCTTCCTCCCCGCCCCCGACACGGCGGCGGCGGCGGCGCCTCCTCCCGCCCCGCCCCGGTAACGGGTCTGTCCCGGCCGCCGGCGCCGCATCCTGAGGGGAGGGAAATCCCCGGCACCGCACGCGCTCGTTTGGGGACATCCTAGTTGCTGAGGAGGGCGCTGGATAATGAGAAGGGAAAAAAACCCCAAACAAAACACGTACAAACCCAACACCAAAAAACAAACAAACAAACAAACAAACAAAAAGCTTGCCCCCCGCCCTCCTCCCCAAAAAAAAGCCCCAAACTAAGTCCCTATAATTTTCAGGCCACAGTGGGTGAAGCGAAAGACAACAGGATGTGGAGAGGCTGGCATGCAGATGGCATTATCAGCCCCCCCCAGCCGCACCCCCGGTCAAGAGAGAAGGCTCTGACAGGAACCATCGCAGCTCAAACGCTGCAGAGCCCGGAGGCAAGTGGAGCAGGGAGCTGGAGAGGCTGTGTCTTGGCCAGAGAGGAGGTTGTGAAGAGGGAGAGCTGGCCCCCGGACCAGCTGCAGGGGCCGAGCCGGGGACACAGGCACAGCACAGCAGAATCGGGCAAACCCAGCTGCATTGAAGGCAGGACTCCAAGATGTGTGAGATGCACGCAGCCAGCGTTGAGTTTAGCACCCTGCACCAGAGCTGGGTAGCACTTTCAATTTGCTAACAGGACATCTGCAATGGCTTTGCCATCACTTGTAAACACCGCATAAGTTTGGGAATGCCTCTTTCCAAAACAGGCACCTGCTAGCAGTTGTTTGCACTACAGGGTAAGGGCTCAATCTTATTTTTACTAAGGAATATGGGGCTCACTTAAAACCTGGAAGAGAGACAGAGCAGCTGAAATATTCCTGTGAACAAAACACTTTAGCCATTATAAATATAACTCTTGTCTTCTGCCCCCACCCCCATCAACCACAGTTATTTTGAGTAAGTTATCTTCTGTTTTTCCTTCCTTTCTGCATCTTGCAATGGTGGTTACATGGTAGAGAGAAAAAGCAAAATCTCCACAGGCACAAGCTTTTATTAGTACTATACACTGTGGGTCAAGAATTGAAAGTCATCCGGCTGTGTAAGCAAAACAGTTTAAGACAATATTTTGAAAAATACTTGGTATTGATTTTTTCCCCCCCTCTCAATAGAGATATTTTGGCTACTGCTGAGCAGAGCTTACATAGAGCCAACGGCTTTTTTGCTTCTTACACCACCCCACCAGAAAGTGGGCTGAGAGTGCACAAGAAGTTGGGAGGGTACTCAGTTCCTAGCACATATAAGGATTTCAGCCCATAAAATTAAAATTAACTATTTTCTTTTGAAAAAAAAAAAAAGGGTCCATCCATTAGATATCCCTTTATTTTCCAAATCTAATAAAAGATTTTAATTTCTGATCTTATTATAAATGTGAATCAAAAACAGGAACAAGAGGGACCTTCAACCTGAGCTCCTGTAGTGTTATGGTTACTATCCCTACAATACACAGCATTTAAACTTAGTAGTACAGCTTTAAGGTCTTTACTCCAGGAGAAAACAGCATCGCTCTTCTCTTTTCAGACCTGAAGTTACTTTAGCTATGCCTCTTTCTGTCTTTTAAGTAGAATCCTAGGATGGTTTGAGTTGGAAGAGACCTTAAAGATCACCTAGTTCCAACACTCCTGCTGTGGGCAGGGACACTCCTGCCCATGGTAGAACACTAGACCAGGTTGCTCAAAGCCCCATCCAGCCTGGCCTTAAACACTTCCAGGGACGGGGCATCCACAACTTCTCTGGGCAACCTGTGCCACCACCTCACCACCCTCACAGTAAATACCTTCGCCGAAGAGCAAGGAGAGTCTCACTTAAAAAAATCTCAGCTATTTTTCTTGGTGTAATGAAGTAGGAACACGCAGTAAAGAGTTTAAAAATGCCCACTAACATCCACATGTGAAATGAGTTAAAAAAAAAACAAAGTTATCTTTGTTGGTTTGGGGGTTTTTCATTGTTTGTTTGGTTTTGGTTTTTGGTTTTTTTTTTACTTTTGGGAGGATTGTGTTGCAATAAAACATGACTTTCATATATGTCTGAGCTCCTCGACTGTTTGTTTGTTAAAACTTTAAAAGATGTTTAATTAATCTTCATTTGCTTAAGAACAGAGCAGGTATCTGATGAAACCAAAGGAGTAGGAGGGGGAACAACACTCTTTGCAACTGTGTTTCTCTTCATAAGCCCTTAGTCCTAATTCTCTTTCTAGAAAACTATACAGAACACTGCCACATCTTTTCATTTAAACACAGCAGGGAATTAAGAACACAAAAGAGAGGGCCAGCAGTAGAAACAAAGGACTGCAAATCATGAAGAACAATTTCAGTGAGGTTGGTGAACACATTTCAAGTACCCTACTACACTCTTACTGTCCTCAGCAGTCAAAGCGGCCATGGAATGAAACAGTGGCCGTGGAATGCCCCGGCTGTACCAACTAAAGAATGCTAATGCTTACCTTGTTATCAAATGCTTTCTGTTACCAGACTTCCCATCTCATCTCTAAAAGAGCCCTCCAATCGTAAAGAGATGACTACTAGGCGTAAGAGTCAAGATCAAGTACACGTACACCTTAACATTTTCAATAAATGTACAAATCATTTATTTAAAATTCAAAACTCAGAGATACAAACAAAATACTTAAGAAACAATAAATCCAGAAATGTAAACACTTATAGAAAATATATGAACGGTACCAATTTAACCACCCGCCATTCTTCACACAAAACAGCAAGAAGTAGAAAGACAAATCAATGCCCAATTGTTCTTTTTTTCTCAAATTTTAGTTTAGAGGTAGAATACTACTGTCAAACACTCAACAAAATTTAGTTCAGTAGAATTATGCTACAAGTGAATTTAGCCCATATATTTATAAATGTAATGAAGCCAAAAAAGAAGATTCTTACTGAGAGCTCTTATACAGAAAAATTTGGTGTGGCACTTTCCAAGAGATAAAGCACCTTTCCTGATAAATACTGTTCTATGTTTTTGCAAGAAAAGGATCATGTGCTTTTCCCATTACTGACATAAAGAAAACAATTAAAAACAGACAGAAAGTCCCAGCTTTTCAGGAGGCATATAGAAAGCAAATGTTTCTCAGTAACTTAGTCCTAGAAAAATCAATCTGGAGGGAAAAAGTGTAACTATGAAAAAAAGATACTTTGAAAGACTTCATGAATACTTGATGCATACTTACTCAGGTGGCACAGTCCTCAAGGGGGGGAAAGTTAATACAACAGGGGGGAAAAAAAGTGTCTTTTCCACTATCAGAGGAACTGACCAGTTTTTACATTTTATTGTCATTCAGTCAGTCTCCACTCGATGCTACAATTCTATCCTCACGGGGAAAAGCGAATCTGTGTGAGACACAATAGAACATCAAGTCCAGTAAAAATTACCCAGGTAGTCTCAAAGGAATGCATATTCCATTTTTGTTCATCAAATGACCTGCTACAAGTAGAAATTAAGATTGGAATTCTTCAGACAATATATACAAATTCATAAAAAACAAGAACAATTTGCAAGCTCAAATACAAACATTATTCAGAAAAAAACCAACTTTTTTTTATATACAGACTGGCTGCTAAGTGCATTATTTAAACTGCTGCATGCAAATAGTAGAATCTATGGTTGTTTAAGAAACTTAACTATCAACAATTGTTAGGCTTCTGCAGTTTAGTTTTACAAGAACTTTCTCAAGTATTGGTTGAAGGATATTTGTGGTTTAGAAGCAGCAAAATAAAATTTGCCGTCTTAATGCCTTCTTGCTTTATGGTATAAAACCACTTGTCCCTACCTTCAGAGAAACAGACAAAAGACTAATTTCTGCCACAGACTAGCTGAAAATAGGCTTGCATGGGCCAGCTATCTCATTTGGGGCAAAACTACCTGTGTGGTGCAGTTTAAATAGTCTGAGCTATATTTAGCTGATTTTTCTGAAGCAAATAAAAGAAGCATTTAAACTGTACTCATGGCAGAGCTGACAACATTGCCTGGCAAATAACCATTAGTTACCTCTCCCATTACAACTGGAGTATCAGCCCAGCACAAAACACAAGGGACAAACTTTTATTGTACAAAGCACATTCTTCTGTTGAATATGAAGCCTGTTCAAAGGAAAATGTTGAAAGAATACAATATTAACACAGGAAATTTTCAGACATAGGTTTTCATATTTTAGGCCTTCCAATTCCTTTATGAAATTTCCATCATCTCCAAAGGGAGCTGTGCATCCCTATCCAGATAAAAGAATATTACATACCTAGATTAAGAATACGTATCTAGACAAAGGTGAGTAAATGTTAAGCCATTTTAACTATGATATTTCCAAATCATGATTCTTTGAGAGCTCAAAACAGGACTGAAAGAAGCCATTTTTAAGTATACATCCAGCTTTATTCCTTATTTTTCCACTGTATCCCTCCCTCATTACATCTTTTCCTGTATGCATTTGAATGGTCAGGATGAAAATATTTTCTGTATATACAAACTAATAACATTTTACCCTATAAAAACTAATCCAAAACTTCACCATTCTTTGATTTCTCTATATTTAGGCAACTCATCTTCTACACATGCAAGATACTTTTCAAAACATCAGAAAAAAAGGTTTTGTATTTCACAGTTTCCCTCAAAAAGATAAAGCTGATCATATGTCGGTACATGCTTCGCTGTACCTTCATAAAACCACCTTTGGATATACAGGTTACAAGTTAATAAGGACAACAGCTGACCCAGGCATTAGTTGAAATGCTGCCTTTGTGTTTGCGTTTGCATTCTCAAGTCCTAGTAACAAAGGAAATGTTAATAAACATCTAGGGCTTCCATGAAAAATTAACTTTCACCAAGTTTTCCCCCTTTGACACCTCCAAAATTCAAGTTGTCTCTCCTCTTTTTGACTCTGCAGCAAAAGTGACAATACAAAATAGCAAAATATCTGTGCTCCCTCAGT